GTAATGCACTTCCCTTTTGACTCAGTGCTGCAGATCTAGAGTCTATGGAGCAATAAGAAAAAGTATGCTTGGGAATTTTCCTCCTCCACTGGACACCTGCAGGCCCATCCTATGCTAAACCCTGGGTACCAAATAGCACCTTCAGTCACTGTAGAGTCTCACTCAGTCCAATCTCGTCCAATCATCCCCACCCCAACCCCCACTACAGGAGCTGTTCCAAGGATGAAACAGTGGGGCAGTTTACAGATAAGACTCAAGAGTGTGACCAACATTCTCCTTGTTAGTAAGAACGAAAGTTAAATTCCTTGAGTATATTAGCACATTGCCCTGTTGCACAAGCAAGGGGCTAGTGAGGTTCTCCCTCCTCAACTCATGCCTTCTGAAAGGGCCTAGCCTCCCAGAGGCTAGTAATTCCTAGTAATTCACGTATTTCTGACAGAGCGAGGTAGGGACAAACTCTGTGGATGTGCATAACAGAGGCCAAATTCTCTTACAGCTCCTGGAGGATTTGTGGCTGCCTCAGCACAACACACTCTAACACAGGGCACTAAGCTCTTAAATACTACTCAGATGGATATATCCACAAATGACAAATCCTCTTAATTCAGCTAAGCAACAAAGCAGATAAGACTGTAGTCACACTTTTATTTTAGTATAGTTAATAACATTCAAAATGACATGCAATTTATTCATATCCATGTAAAATCTACCACAGGAAAAACAAATCCCTCAACCCAGTCCTATAATACTGGCACTGAAACGCATAATGAGATCTTGTCATTCCAAAGTGGTCTGTTGAATTTCACTCTGATCGTTCGGCTGTTTACTGTACAAAAAGCTACAATATCTTGGAGGTAGTTAGAACAGGAGCAGGAACTCCAGCCCAAACAGAAAAGTAGCTTTACATTTATTTTGCACAGGCAAACATAAATGGTGACTAAAAATAAGCAGCCTAGTTTCTATCTAAAAGTAATATGCTTATTTTCTTGTTTTGGGACTGCTTAGTTTTTTCCCAAAGAAACTTCCATTTCTGCTAGTCAAAGTTCACTTTAGTTAAGACTACAGATAAGGATTTGAAGGTGGCAGTGCTCTACATGGTATCATAGTTACATGGTGAGTCATTGTGTGACAGCAGTAATGGGTCTCAAGTATTTGCAACAACTAGTACAACACATCAGTATTTCTTAGATTTCACAGCTGTAAGAAGCCCTATTCATTTATAGGAGCAGTTTTAAGAGATCTACTACAATGGCTTTAAAACATTGGATCAAACTGGTTGTAGAGAATGTCATGGCCACAATGTCCCATTAATGGGCCCCTTTTATTTCAGTATGAATGCTATCCAGAAAGGACAAAGGTATGAAAAACAATTCATTGGGTGGTGATAATACTGTTTTGTCTTTATGTTGATCCCCTTTTAAAAAAACACATCATTTAAATACAAATACATATGAAATGTATAGATAAATATATAGAGATACCTATGTTAATATGTAGTTTGATCAGAACTGGATTAATCAAAGAAAATCTAAAGGCACCACAATATGCCAGCATCATTGAACAAAATACTCATTATACTTTGCATTTACGTAGTTCTGAAACCAAGCAGTCAGAATGTCATGTACAGCAGGGGATAAGTCTCATTATTTTAACCTCACAGCCTAGGAAACTAAGACTCAGATTCGCCTAATGACGAGTCATACTCAAACAATTTCAGGTAAAGAATTCAGTTGTTCTGACTCCCAGTTTTTCATCTAGTTAAGAATCAGAAAGGCTTGGGAGTAAGATAAGAAAAGAAAACTTTAGAAAAACAGAAGATTTTCGTTTGAGCCTGTACCCAGAGGTTATAATGAGCAGAAAACTGATTCTCCTCTTTGCCAATGGTCTTAATCAGTCCTATTAGCATTAAATAAATTAGCTGGTATAAAATGACCCTCTGTTAAAATAACTCTGAATTATACTCACATATTGGAGAACAGAGTCTGCACGTGTACAAGTGAATAGTGCCTTGTTTTTGTTCTTGCTTAATTAATCCTAGTGTATTTAAAGTGAACAGCAATTCATCAGGCTAAAAAATCCTAAAATGTATCATATCACAGTTGCAGCAAATTCACTTACGTGCAAGGAAAGCCTCATTTCTCATTTCCACTGGTGTTACATTAACATGGCTTTAACTTTGGTTGAGCTAATCCTTAGCTCATTTTAGTGTGACAGGAAAAACAAACTTCAAATCTTCTACATAAGACAGCTTTAAATTGGCTGCATTTTTTTAAATTTATTTGACTCCAGTGTCAAATCAACCTTGGTTACAGATATAACACAGTGGCAGACTGCCTTCTGAGGTGAGATGAGAAACAGCCAATTAAACCTGAGAAATTGAACCTTAAGGAGCCTTTGATAAGTAAATGAGGATGTAAGACAAGATAGAGAAAAGTGCATTATGAATCTAAGCTAATGTAGCACTCCCAGACATGGAGAACATGGTGCTCCAGAAGAAACACCTTCCTGCAACTTGGAGAAATACTTTCCTTCTTTCAACAGCTGAGTAGAGAAGCAGCAGCTCAGCAATGCTGGGACTTGTCCTGCAGCTAAAGTGCTGTTGGTCCATTTAGTAGAAGTCTCGGTCATGGCACAGGGGTAAAGCACCAAGACTGCTGATATTTTCAAATCTCTTAGCAGCAGTAACCACACAGCAGCTTTTCTGCAAAATAAACAAAACAAGAATCCAGTTAATTCAGCAGTATACTTTCTTATTTGGTTAAGTATTCTAGGACAACCACATGGTGGTTTCTTTGTGCCTAAAAAAAAGAAAACAGCACTGAAGCTTCTTGCTTACAAAGGATTCTTGCAGCCGTCTTATTTGTGAGATGTTTTATGCAATATTAAAAAGACAAGGCCTCTTTGTTAAGTGGAGAAATGGTCCTGGAAGTCTCTCTCGAGATGTAGCTACTCTGTCTTTTTGCTTCTCTCATCATAGAGATCACAGCATGAAAAGGCATGCTACAAACCTCTCCATTTATTTGTGTTACCACTGCAAGCATTTATAATGCCAGGTCTAAATCAACTGGCACTTGAGTGTATTATTTTGAGTTAAATGTGGTAACCATACTACTTGCCTGATAAAAATAGCTAAAGGGATTCTTTAAAAACAAAGCACTGCTATGACTTTAGATCCACTCATTAAGTAAACTCAAATAAACTCCAAAAAGAAAAACACATGCAGAGGAAATAACACTGCAAAACCCAAAACCAGGTTTTCCTGAAGGTTAGATCATGAGTAGGTTACTATGTTACAAAGCTATAAAAAGTTTATTTAAAAATAATTTCGACTGCTCTTGGACAGTCAATTTATCTCAAAGTTGATTTTGGTTGTAATAGAAAATGGTGTAAAACAGTGTTTCCTGCATTAGAGAGGGAGAATTTTCACCATTTGGTTGCTGTGCAGTTAGTGGCTTGAACTGGGAAATACAGATAAAAACACTAGTTCTGAGACAGGTCAGAAAAACCTGTTTAGAAAACTACTACGTAGAAGCACACAAGTGAGTGGACCAAAGCTTCACGTAAGCTGCCACAGTACCACTGAAGTGGGGATGAATGCTGAGGATCCCAAATAGGGATTAATTTCCACTGATTTCCACTACAGAAGTTGATGCTCAGACATTACCATATCAGGAAGTTATGTGGCTTCAGAGAGCAAGTAGGATATAATAATGGTGCCCTAGCCCTCACTGACCTCCAGTGTACCATGGAAAGGCAGCTTCAGGTCCCCAGGACAGCTCATTTAAACATCATTAACTTCTGTGTTACTATGCTACACTTTATATAAACTGTTCTAATTTTACTTGGTCAAAACAGAACAAAAATTTTAACCTCTCACAATACTCTCCTTTTTACACATTTCTGGACAAAACTTGTTGCAACCAAACCCCAGTACATCACTTGCCCTACCAAGCAGATGATGGATGATGGCAGCATTAAAAACTTGCTTGTGGTGAAAAGTGGAGTGCTGTTATTTTGGCATCCTGGTTGTTACATATGATGCATGACTAAAAGGAAGTGGTTTTACAGTGTGTGTGTTCTCAGCCCCATTCACATCTTGACCCTCCACTGAGTTTTGCCCAGAGATGCTCCCAGAACCTTTGAGTGGTTCCCATGGTCCTTCCACAGAGGCACCAGCTTCTGTGGCAGTTGGCAAAAGGGGCTGTGGAAACTGGTGTACCAGTTTATGGAGATACTGTACTGCCTGAGGTAGCCTGATTTCAAAGTGACTGAGTGAGTGTGCTTTGGTCAAAGACCAGAGACAGAACATGAGAGCAGACTTGAGTCTCCTTCATCCCTGGGAGAGGCAACCAAGCCAGCCTGAGAACCACTAATGATGTGTTTGTTAATGAAAGGGCAAAAACAGGGAGCCAGAAAAAAGGACAGAGATGAGACACTGTCAAAATTGTTTAGGTTGCTACAGACTAAAAGGGCAGAGAAATGCCCTGTGAGAACTGAGTCCTGAAAAGTGTGGAGCAGCTTCTTTTAGGGGACACCTTACTTTCATTTCACTACAGTTAATGGAACTGACTTGATGGTCTGGCCCATGCCTTTACTAAAAAGTAATTACTTTTCATACTTCTACCCTTTTTAAACCATACTCCTAACCACAGCATGAAAACCTGAAAGCTTTCAACACTGAAAAATTATTGGGTGAAATCCTGTCCCATGAGAGCTAGTGGGAGCATAATGATTCCCTCTAAAATGGCAGGGGTTTGCAGCACATATGGCTTCATATGTATGACTTTTTTTCACATTGCTGTGACTTGGTGATAGGGCCAGTTTACTTTTTGAATGCTTTCCCAACAACAGCAAGGATGGTGGCAGTTCAGACCATGCACTTTGGACAATGCATGATTTTTGGCTGCCCACTAATACCTTCTGCAGAGGCTACAGCATTTATGTCTGCAGAAACACATGGGACGTGAAACAAACCTTCTGTTTGGCAGCTTTCAGAGAGGTTATTGAGCTGGGGGTGCTTGGGACACACCTTCAGTCTTCTTCTAGGGAAAAAAAGAAACAAACAAAAAATGAAAGAAAGATACCGTTATTGGAGCATTAATTTAAGATCAATCACATCTTACCTCTAGTTAAGGTAACAGCAGAACACCGCAACAACACGTTTAGTGAAGCTGTTTTTGTAAAGCATAAGAAGTACGAACAAAAATTAATGGGGGAGGAGCTAAAAAAGGATGACATGACTTGCAAGGTTTCTATTGGGTAGGGTTTCCCAAGAAGAAAATTGGTGATAGGAAGCAGAACAGCAGGTAAGCAGCCCGTGTTCTTGCAGCACTTGGAAAAGACAACCTGTTCCCCAGGTTGCAGGATTCGGATCTTCACTGGAGCCCAACTAAAGGAATCAAATTGTACCCTGTGACACCTTCTAAAGTGATAATTACCTGTGATGAACTCTTATTATTACTGTGTATGCACACTTATAAATCTTCTAATAATCTCATGGGCATTACTGTTCTGGTAGATTATAATGAAAACTAAATTTCAATGAAAACTATGATAATTTATTTGACTGTTATTATTTCCCATTTTATTCTACTTGGTGTTATCAAATTATCTTGTATAACAGGAACATCTCATGAGGACAGAGCTGTCAGGACACTACTCAGTCCATCCTGCCCAGAACCCACACCACCTCATCAGCAGAGTCACTACTGCTTTATTAATATCATAATCGTTACTCTTATTTTAATAAGATTATTTTATTAATTAATAATATTGTCTCCTAATTCTTAAAGATGGCTGTAGTTCAAAAGGCATCTTGACATATACATCCTAGGCAATACAGCAGTCATTTTATTTAACATAGATGTGCTTTGCCTGCAAAGCAGGAAGTGAATATTGCACTTCAAATGTTCTAAAACTGCTTAAAATTATCCCTTCATGAACCATCGAACCACAGAGTGGACTCACTTAGAATGAGGCAACAGCAAGCTCATCGATAGTGTGTCTCCCCAACTCATTGACTACTTAACAGAGGAATGATCAAAATTATTTAAAATCTTGTTGATTCTCCAGCTCTGCCCAACTGAATTGCTCGTCTGAAACACTTTCTTTTGTGCTGGCCACTAAGCTGGCTATCCTTGAAGGGCAAGAAGGTGCTGGACTTGGACTGGGTGAGGCTCCAAGCTCTGTTGGGAAAGGTATTCCCTCTGTTGGAAAGAGGTATGATAAAGTCAAACAGCACTCATGAGGAACTTCAGGAGAGTTTGAAAGGGTTTTTCGAAGCAGAATCATCCTCAGCTGGAAAATTCTTTTCAGATGGTAATTAATTTCTCATTTTGCAAATAGTCTCATTTTGCTAAGAAATGGATCCACTGACCAACACACAGAAATTTGATGATCTTATATTTCTTCCCAGATGTGCAAGAACTGATAAGCAAGTGTGAGCATGCAAATCATAGCAGCTAAAAAAAAGCAAGGGGACACATGTGGCTTATAGTGGCAACAAATGCAGCAGCAAGAACGGTTCAAAAATAGTCAAGAAAAATTTCAAAGAAAATAGTAATGTGGCAACACAAGAAGACAACAGTAGATCTACAATGCACAAGAATATTGAAATTTAGGGACCTGGAGTCTGCAGTGGAGCTTGTGGTCTGATAACCATGGGTGTTTTAAGGCAGCAGTTGCACTTATTCTCCAGCTAAAGGAAAACCAGAATGCTATTAAGTGTTTTTCCCAGAATCTTACAGTTCAACAGTTAGCACCTACAGGTCATGCATTCTGTCATCATGCAATGCTGTCATTTCAGTACCCTATGCATGATGACAGCTAATCCATTAAGTAAGTAAGTTTTGCTTTACAGTAAAAAATGCATACAGGTAACTTCAGAGCATTTTATGGACACGAACACTATCAATGAAGTGGCATTATAATATTCTACATGGACATAAAAAACTTAGATAAGCCATTACAGTTCTGCAATGGAACAGCACAAGCGACACAACTGTGACATGATGGCATTAAACACATATTTCAAAGATTATATACCATTTTTCCTTGATGAGGAGCTTTGAAATGAAGTCTTTGGCCTGATCAGAAACACCTTGAAATTCCTCATCTTCAAAATCCCAGTTACAGGACAAGATATTGTTGAGGGTCTCATTGTCATCATCACCCAAAAAAGGAGACAATCCACTGAGGCTAAAGTAAAGAGACACATGTTTAATTCTCCTGTTTTTTCCCCTTCCTGTACATGATCTCCTATATGCCACCTATGACTGTTCTGTCACTTCTGGTTTATCTTGCAACATCTTATTGTCTTAGAAAGTCTCCAGACCGACCCCATTCTCTCTTTGATTTACATGATTAAATAATCACCATTCTTCCCTAACAAACCAAGCATTACCATCTTTCATGGTAGGTCAGATTTTCTAGATCTCTCTTGCACATGCCTACTGGGAACTTACCAAGCAATCTACACACTGGGGAGGAGTGGCTAGAAAGCTGAACCAACAAGAAGCTCTGAACCAACAAGCTAAACCAAATCATTCTCTGGAATTAGCAAGCACCTGGAACCCACTCTGGAACCAACAAGTAGAAGAATGTGATCTAGAACCAACAAGCTAGAGCCAGCAAGCTAGCTAGAAGCTATCTAGAACCAATGACCTATCTAGAATGTGATCTAGACCCAATGAGCTGGCTAGAACCAACTCCCTACCAAACTACCAACTCTAGAATTCATACCTTGTCCAGAATGACTGCACTAACACCACCTTAGCTCTACAAACAACTAATCCTGGAAACTCAGGCTCTGGAACAGTCTTGGACTCTGGACCAACACAGATTCTTGGGCTCTGGCCAACTGCATGAGGTTCAACAAGGTCAAGTGCTGGGACCTGCACTTGGGTCACAACAACCCTATGCAATGCTAATGGCTTGGGGAAGAGTGGCTGGAAAGTTGCCTAGTGGCAATGGACCTAGGGGTATTACTCAACAGCCGGCTGAACATGAGCCAGCAGTGTGCCCAGGTGGCCAAGAAGGCCAACAGCATCCTGGCTTGTAACAGGAATAGTGTGGCCAGCAGGAGTAGAGAAGTGATTCTGCCCCTGTACTCAGCACTGGTGAGGCTGCACCTTGAATACTGTGTTCATTTTTGGGCCTCTCACTACAAGAAAGATACTGACGTGCTGGCACATGTCCAAAGAAGGGCAACAAAGCTGGTGAGTGGTCTGGAGCACAAGTCCTATGAGGAGCAGCTAAAGGAACTGGGGTTGTTTGGCCTGGAGAAGAGAAGGCTCAAGGGAGACCTTATCGCCCTCTACAACTACCTGAAAGGAGGTTGTAGTGAGGTGGAGGTCAGTTTCTTCTCCCAAGTAACAAGTGATAAGTCAAGAGGAAATGACCTTGAGTCGCACCAGGGGAGGTTTAGATTAGATGTTAAGAAAAAATTCTTCACTGATAGGGCTATCAGGCATTGGAATGGGCTGCTCAGGGAAATAGTGGAGTCACCATTCCTGGAGGTATTTAAAAGACGGGTAGATGAGGTGCTTAGAGACATGGTTTAGTAGTGGACAGGTTATGGTTGGACTCAATGATCTTAAAGGTCTTTTCCAACCAAATGATTCTATGATTCTATTATGCTGGAAGTGTGATACTCAAACACTCAAGAGATATGTGCAATGAAACATAAAAGAAAAGTTCATGGTAGCTGGAAAAGAGGAGGGATTACTGAATACAGAATTTGGAAAGAAGCCTACATTTTCTATTTTGAGTACAGATTTTTTCAGTATTCCAGCATAACAACAAATTTGGATGAGTGACACAGTTCAACCTAGAAACAGTTTACAAAATAGATACGGAATCCTACTTACAGCATATAAGCAATGACTCCTACACTCCACATGTCTGTAGGAAAGGAGACAAACTCATAATTCACAACTTCAGGAGCAAGAAATTCTGGAGTCCCAAAGTTAACTCGAAGTTTTTCCCTGGGTTTGTATCTAGGAAATGGAAACATTAACAGAAGACATCGATTACAGCTCTAATTAAAGTTGCATTTTAAATTCTCTAGCACTTAGGAGGGATTTTAGAAGCATATGGGAAATTCCGTAGGGAGACAAGGACAGGCAGAGGCACAAAATAAAAATAAACATACCCATATATAGAATGAATAATGTTTGCAAGCTTTATAGCATATCAACTGCTATACAAACGAAGAAATACAGATTTCAAGGGCTCCTCAGAGCAGCTGTTATCATCCTTCTGGGACTTTACCGTATCATAGGCATGGAATTTTCAACCAGTAAATCCTTCACTGAGGTTATGCTACCTAATTACACTAGCAAGTGATAGAGCATGGGATATTGTTACAGCTCTTGATGGTCTCTTACACTCTCTTCTGAAGACTCTTGTAACATCGGAGACAAAAGGCCAGACAAATTGTATTACTGTTCATTTTAGCTTGTCAAAGATACTTATCTACATGCTTAGTCAGAATTAGCCCTCTTCCAACCTTCTACCTGAAAAAAGGCTTCAGAACAAATCTTTTTTACTCAGCTGCAAACATGTCTTATTAAAAGGTATCCCTAGCTTAAAAAGCCACGTTAAATTTATCATAAGAACAGTAGGAGAAAATTATGTATCTAATAGGTCATTGTGGAGATGTAATACTTTTTTCATTGTTTGGCAATTAATTTATGAATAGCAAGAACACAGACACATACCTTCTTGCCAATCCAAAATCAATAATTTTTATTTGATTTGCTGATCGGTTCACACACAGGATATTCTCAGGCTGCCAAGAGAAACAAAAAAACCCACTTTAATGAGAAATAAATATGAAAAATTGTGCCTTTAGCAAACTATAGGGTGAAAAACACTAAACATGCAGTAAATGTCTCATAAGGATCTTTTGCATTTCTCCTGAGCCACACTCCTCTGCATGGGTATCTCTGCATGGGCACCCACCCTGGAGTCACACGGCAGCTGAGGTTGTGTGTTCTGTGCCTTGACTGCCTTTTCTTCTCCTTGGCTATTCAATTTGACATAAGGCGGCAGTTCAGATAAAGAACTCATCAGGGGTAGTGGGACAGAGAATGCAGAATTCCAAGGAGGGGTTTCAGGATGCTGCCACTGGGATTTAACAGTCCTTAATAAGCTGACACTGATTATTTTTTTTTAAAGCCCCTAATTTGATGGGCTTTGAAGTTTATCTTACAGCTTTAAGTTTCTGAGTTCACAAATGTTCTGGCAGCAACTGTCTGATTGAACACTGATGTATTAAGCTAGTCATATCAACTTTATATTTTTCGCAGTTATTCTAGCAAAAGGTAGGATTCACAGGTTAAATCCCTCTGGATTTTCATAGGGCCAAATGCTGTTCTTCAGTTTCCTGGCAGGAATCCATTAACTTCCTAGAATTACTTTGAAGTCATACAGGAGGGACTGAGAACAGAATTTGGCCAATTGTCTTTGAAATGTAAATACATAAAATAGAGTCTCATATTCACTGCCAGAAGTTTTATAGCTACTCCATCTTGTTGCTCATTGAGTCCTCTTTGAAACAAAACAGCCCTCAACACGTAAAACATTAGTTAACCTTTGCCACCATTACTAATTCATTTTACATGTAGGACTTTTAAACACCATAGGACTTTTGAACACTATACGTCCATAGTTCTTGAGATCCTAGATTATTATGGTCAGTCTGACGTTCTTTCAATTTCAAGCTTTCTTCCCCAAACTCATTTGTTACTGACAGGAATCTATGAACAAGCAAAACAGAAGGGAGAAGCCATAGCTGTCAAGCATGTAGAAAGAGGTCTCTGGGAAGGATTTCTTGGATTGTACGTGTATCTTTTTGTCAGCAGTTTGACCTCATAGTAAAAGTGTGTCATCTCCAAGAACAACATGTGAACTTCTGCTTGACAGGTTTCTAGGTAACTGTATGTTTATAAAGAAAGAGAAAAGTGAGTCTGGTCATTGATTAGCAACTGAAGCAGGTCCCAACAAGCATCTGCTCATTTGCTTAACCTCTGCAATAATATATATGCTAACAGCATTAAAGTTGTATTATATTAACTCAGTTATTAGAAGCCAAAAACAGCAGCCGTAATAAAAATCTCACCAAAGAGAAAACCATCTTGTGCACTTTTTGTTTCTTTTTGCTTCGTTGCAAAGCTCAGGGATTGCTAGGAAGCTTTATAGCCAGTCTTAAAACTAAAGACATGATCCCTTTTTATTCCTACACTAAACAGAGGTAAGAAACAAGTCTATTATTTGATAAAAACTTGGGTTAAGGGAGAAAGAGCCAGCTCAAATGTACGGTCTAATGAAAAATACCCTTACAACAAATGTTTTCTAAGTGGTGACAGTTAACCATTAGCAGTCAACCAGAGTAAGAACATGCAATTGGTGGATTTGTTTTTAATAATAAGTGAGGAGACTTTTCGTGTATATCGTTGAATAGTTCAGATGACTAAGCAAGTATGTGGCAGTAAACGTCTATGAGTACACATCTACAAGTACTTTTTAATGTATTTTCCTTTAAGCTGACTATTTACTGATGCTTTTTCATGACCACGACAGTGTAGTATAGTCCTCAAAACACCATGCAGGTGTTTGAATGACCCTTGAATTTAGTTCCATTCACTCATGCCTCGGTTTCCACATGGTAAAATGGGGATAATTGCTAATCCATGGCTGATGTGTAAAGCAGAGATCTTGTGCCACTGAATTAAATAATATTTGCACCGTATCTTGAGAACCAAATATCAAAATTGAAAATAACGAGATATTTGTAGTCAGCTGCTGGCTTTCTGTAAAATCAGTCTGTGGAAAATTCAAGCACTATGAGGCTTAATAACATATGACCACAATTCTCATCTAATGTACTTACTCCTGTAGTAATTTAACTGATCTCAGTGTGGTTAAAGTAAATATACATTGGTCTAAGGAAAACAGAATAAGGCCCTTTGTTGTTTTTGCCATGAGAATCTGCTAAGCTGTATGGCGTACCATTAAGAATAAGAATTTCCACAGTTATCATTGCACAAAACATCCATTTCAATTCTCTACCTTGAGATCCAAATGAAGAATGTACATTTGGTGCATGTACTGAATTCCCTCGCAGATCTGTTTTATGAACAAGATAGTGTCCATCTCTGTCAAATTATAGTTTTCATCAATAATTCGGTCAAATAACTCTCCTCCTTCCACACTGATAAGAGAAAGACAGTGAAGTGGTGACCAAGTCCAAATTCAATCCCATGCAGTCACAGTACAAGAGAATTTATACTATTGACTATTTTAATCATTCACAGTTTGGTAAGCTCAGTCTACAATATGAGTTTGTACTCTGATCTGAACTTTCCAAGAACTGGGTTGTGATGCATACTGACCTGAACTTCTCCAAGGTCTGAGAGTCCAGCCTCCCACCCATTGATAAGTACAAAAGTCTTGAAATTTGAACCTTATGCTGTCTTGAGTCATCATTTTGTATCAGTGAAATTAACAAAGCCACATGGAAAATCAAGACAACATGCTGGAGAATCTACATTTAAATCCATTCTCCTCCCTCAGAGTCTAAGAGAGACATGACCCAAAATTTCAATTTGAAACTATCTAAAGTCAACAAAAATTACTTATAAATTTCTCACCACATTTCAGAGTGCTTCCAGCTCACCCATTCATAGCTACACAGACATTTACCTTTTGTGATATGCTAATCATATGGACCAAATTCAGAGGACTATGTGAGAATTTCCAGAATAGTCAAATTCACATAACTTTGAACCTTCTGCCATGCCTTTCAACGTTCTAGTTATACCCTTTTTGGCTTCCTTAAGACAACATCTGCTTAACTTGACCTTAATGAAGGTATTTTGTGCCTAATTAGCCTGCCAACCCAGCATAAAAAACAGGTTTATCCATTCAGGCACACAGTATAAGGATTAGGCACAACATCTACAGCTGGCTCCTCTTCAGTGTAAGATGTCTTGTTTGCCTCACAGAACTGGAGATATTCTGAGAAGTGTGTTTCTTAGCTGACAAAAAAATAAATTTGAAATTAAAGAGAAGATACATAACACAGCTCTACCTTCAAGTGGAACAGTGGCTTTACAGCACCAGGAGTGTGGCACATCACTGGAAAAAAATGCATAAATGGCTGCATGGGAAAACTCTTCTCTTAAATTCTTTTTTTTTTTGTTCCTGGGAACATTTCATATGTTCTTTCTACCTGTAAGAATCTCTATTTCTAATTAAGAAGAAAGTAAGAAGGAAATGGGCAATTCCAGTAAAGTGCTAAAGATAGAAAGGGAAAGAAAAGAACACACTTACTATTCCATGACTAGGACAAAGTCATTTTTTGATTCAAAGGCATCATATAGCTGGATGAGGTTCACATGATTCAGCTGGTTCATGACACTAATTTCATTCTTTACGTCATCCTGTAAAGAGTTATGATTATTGTTTCAAAGTTTTTTCTCTAAGAAAGCTACATGTAACAGGACATAGTTGGAACTAGATATCTACGTTATCTTCATGTTTTCACTCATAGCAACCAAAGCCAGGGCAGTGGTAGATGTCAAAGGTTTATAGCATATAGGCTCAAGTGGGGGACTGCTTCAGTAATAAGCTATTTGGGGGTTAAAGAAAGGGGAGAGCCCACATGGACAAGTGATAGGTCCACAGGGATGTAAAGAAAAGAAAGAAGCTGAACAGGACTTAGTTCAACCACCTGTAGATATACAAAATCAAGCTGTATAAGAAAAGTCCAGGACAGTGCTCAAAACATCCCTTTGCAGTCAGAGGAGAGAGACTAGTACTTCCATCCAGCCTAACTATTTTAGACATGCAGATTAGGATGGGCTGAATCGTTCTCCAGTGGTGCAAATCTCTCTTCATTGACTATGAAGGGATTCTTGAAGATCAGCTTGGCCACAGCTATATCTTAACAACTCCAGTTAGCTGAGACAAATCCTACCCTTGAATGCCATTAATGACACTGCTGTCACACAAAGGATGCTATGCATGTCTTTCCTGCGAAAACATGCCCCAGATGGCCCTGAGGTTTGCAAAGCAGCGCAGACTAATTCTTCTGATCTGTATTTGTGTTGATGTCAGGAGCCCAGGTCATGCCTATTATCAGTCCCTCACAGTGACATGAAGACATTGCAGCAAAGGCTACAGCGTGCTTGGGAGGGAATACACTGTCACAGGCCTGACGAATGTTTTCACCACTAAAGAAAACACTAATAGAATTAGCAGCAGAAAGCAAAAAAAAGAAAAGCCAAATAAACACAAAAAACTGAAGAGAAAGTTGGAGAAATTAAGATTAAAGGAAAAAAAAAAAGGAAACCTAAAAGGGGGACTTGGATGAGTTACTAGAAGTTCTGGAGGAGAAGGGAAATAGAACTAGCGCCAACGGAAATCCAGCAGGTCCTATGAGTGTGATAGCTTGTGAGCCACTTGGCCATGGTCTGTTGTGTAGCTGAAGAACAGTGTGGGATCCATCTGGGAAAAAAAGACTAATGTCACACTCTACCAACCTTCTGTTTAGGACCTTTTGCTTTTATAATTTTGGCTGCTAGTTTGAGACCTGTTGCTTTCTCTTCACATTTGTGCACTTGACCAAATCGCCCTCTAGGGAAAAAAAGGAGAAAAAAAAAAATCATCCAGTGGTACTGGTGTCGGCCCTGAATGTAAACTAGGTTACAAACAGCAGAAATTATCCTCTCCTTACTGGGGTCCCTTTCAATTGCTCTATTGCTCCTATTTTGTTGTCTAGATTAGACTTGCTCCTACTTATTTAGGCATATCAAAATCACACACTGTTCTAGTTGATATTACCCCACTTTTCTGATTCACTATACTCACCTCATAACATGCAATGACTAATCTCAGGGATGTCAACATACTGCAAGGATAATAACTCACTTATGTGCACAATCTTCCCCGCTCCATCTCATCATTCTCCTCCGAGGAAGGGTTGTGATTTCCATGATGAAACAAAGCCTTACCCAAGACCACGCTGCCATTAAAAATGACAAAATCACTTTCTCCTAAACAATGTCAGCATGTGAGATCAAGTAACTACATGGTCTGTCACATTAGCCTGCTGAGCTATCTGAAAATATGCTGTGTTTTCAGGGATGGGACCCACTGAGAGAAAGAAGGCTACAACGTGTCTCTATGTCCTGCTGGTTGCAATGTGAAGGTAAAGTATTACAGCACCCTAGGAGCCCCATCATAAAGGCTAAGGGCAGCTGGCTGACCTAGAACAATACCAAATACAAGCCAAGTCTGCTGGTGCCAAATCTTAGGCCAAAATTCACTCACACAGTAAAATCACCCTCCCATTTTCATCCCTCTCTAAAGCACTGTTAGAGTTTAGACTTTCATGACTTCGGCTCTAGGGAGGCATATTGCTTCCATTCACCTCCTGGGGTGCTTGGCTGTAAATTTGTGCCTTGCTTTCCATGTTGATTGGGTTCACCTGACTTACCCTCCCAGGATTTCATTCTCACTGACGTTATAGTAACTGCTGATCCCCACCCTTTTGGCTGAGACAATCCGGTGATCAAATGGTGCTGGTGGAGTAGGACTATCATCTACAAAAGACAAAACAGACAGAAAGGATATGAGTGGTAACATGCAGTGCTTGTCCATCTCGTATTTTAGCTCCTCCTTCCCCAGATAAGCTCATTTAAGAACTGAATACATCTACTGTAAATTTTATAAATAGGTCTTTCTCTGTTATTTAAAAAGAATTTCATTCCAAGAGCTCTGGCTCAGAAAACAGCATGTTGTTAGGGACCTACAGTAGTAAGACAAGGACTCCTTTATTATCTTAGCATCTTCTGCACAACAGTAGAAAAGTGAAGACCACTGGACTAAACCAATGTAGCTTCATGCCCAAAAATGCCTCAGCAATTTGTTAGGAAGGGATTCAGCTTTTTCTCTGTTTTTTTTTTCTTCTTCTCTTCAGGGATTGTTAATAGGTGAATATGTACTGTAACTCCCCAGTGGGGTAGGAAAAGAGACTAAGCTCTCCTCTAGGCCCAGCTTAAAGAGGTTATTTCCCAGTTTCTGCTGTTCATAGTGAAGAATCCCTTTCTCTACTGATTGACATAACCTGTCATTCTCCACAGTGTGGTCATCACCTTTAAAGATCATATTTAGAGCTTGTGCACATGAGGGAGTTTCACCCTGGCAGGCAGCACCAGGGATTTCCGGTATGGCTCAGGAGCTGGTGTGGTAGGACACATGGTAACTGTCACATGCTGCTCTGAAGAATTTCTGTCCTTAAAAAAAGACGGCAGATAACAGGTAAAGAGAGGTACAGAGAAGGGATATGTTCCCAACATCACACTGCAGCAGCTATGGAGTTTCGGCACAAATGCAGGTCGCTGGTATTCTTGTCTGAACTACCACATGCTGGACCATTCTGCCGTCCTGATGTCAAAATCCCTGCTGGAGACCAACCCTTCATGCCTAATTTATCTTTGGATTTTTTGCAGGGTGTTGCGACTTTAATCTCATACCCACGTTATTTTTCATTTGATTGATATTCCTGAGAGTGACCTTTGGCTGACCAAGGTGACAAATACCTCTTCAACTGGTTGGGAGGGCTAGAGCCCCAGTGTTTCAACATGAGCTCTCTGGTTTGGAATGCCAGCTCCCTTTTGTGTGGGGCTTGTTGAGCAATTTTAAAACCATTCATTACTCCAATGAAAATGATTAAAAACACAAACAAAAAAACCCCCCATGACAGCATGTAGCTGGCAGGAACACTTTGGTCATTAACTTAGCAGTAGATTGTCCTTATTCACAGTGAATGTCCATTTTTCCAAGACACCAGCTGTGCACCTAGATTTTTTTTTTGACAGTGTTAATAACTTACATGGTCAGGAAGTTAGTTCATAGTCAAGGAATTGTGAAAAGCTGAGGCTTCTGGGAGTTTGCCACCTACTTGGGATTCTGCAGAGTCTGAATTGCACGTCCTTAAATATGGCCTTTGCATGTTATCAAGACCCACAAAATGACAAGAAAACCTCTATCCTAAATGCAGAATTTGACTCTAACAACACAAACTCCAAGCGCCTTAGCATGTAAGTGACAGAAGAAGATGTCTTTCTGAAAGCTCAGCTCCCAAGAGTTACCAAACTTTAGGAAAAGAATTGTTCTTTAAAGAGGCCATAGTGCCTCTTTAAAACTATGCCTAATTTTAGCTTTCAAGATTTTTCCAGTGACAGACCCTTGTTTTCTTTTCCTGCACAGCAGAGGGGATTTCTCCCTATTCAAGAACAACTTCCCATTACTGATGAAAGATGCTCCAAGAGAGACACTCTAACCATAATGTCATCCCTAACAATCTGCCAGAGTTCAGGATGGGTTATGGATTTTAAAGTTTTAGTACACTATCTCCTGTTTCCTGCTACAAGAGCCTAGCACAAACAATAAATGAGGGTTTCCCTTTCCCACTCTCCCCACATTCCCAAAGCAAAGAAATTAATTCTGAGTCCTATGCATGCACACACACACAAACATATATCTTCAAATCCTTCAGGCCATCCTCTCATGTGCCATCATTTCATATACAGGGGTAAGCACTGAAATACTCAAGCTGGAGGTCTAATAGCAGAAATCTCTGCTTTTTCCCAGTAAGATTGCTTCAGAGTTTTCAGGGCCTGAGCAGCATTTATCTGACTGTTCAATAGCATCAGTCAGGCTTCCACACAAAAATCTGTACTTCTTTATTTTACAGGCTGCAGTTGTTCTCACTTCAGATTGCAATGGCATGAATATGAGCAACCTGGTTTTGCAGGCTACATCAGAGCATGGTAGATTCTGTGTTAACACATGTTCTCAGCACTTGCACAGGTCAACCAATTTTGCCACACATGATATAATTTCTCCCACCACTCTATGCTTAGGAGTTTTAGCTCTGTTGTGGAAAGAGGATAGTATTAGCAGAGTAGTTCTGGCAGAAGCAAATTAGTAGCAAATTAATTTCTCCCAGAACAGATGCCTCTAAGATGGAAGCAAACAGAACCATGTTATTTCCCATCAGTTCAGGATGTGGCCCATGAACAACTGCTTCCTGTCACAATAACCATGCACACCTTTTTCCCCTACTAATTACAATCATGAAATCATTCTCTTCTACAGATGTGTCTCTCTCATCATCATTGTAATACCAGTGGAATCAAATGCTTTGCCTCTAGGAATACTTCCTGTAAGAGTTTATTTTTAGTTTTGCGTATGCCATCAGCACTTGCTGCAACTAGCCTGCTCTTTTTGTTTTCATCTTTGATTAAACCGTCATCATTCACTCGATGCTTACTCCTACCACTATGCTCAAATTGGCAGGTCTGCTCAGTGACTGAACTATAATTTCCTGTACCTTTTTCGCAGCCTTTACACCTGCAAGGACAAAACATGGCATTAGAGCAGGGTACACTTAAAGCAGAGCACATTTAGAAACATAGGCAAAAAATGCCTACACATATATTGCATTCAAATAACATTAGGTTATTTTCCTTCATGGTGTAAACCAAATTTTTTTATTACTCACTTTGAGAAATAAAAATGACCCCTAACTTAAACATGACAGCAAAATGTTTCTCTATTACTGAAATCCTCACCTACGTTCTTCTAAATTTAACATTCAGGTACCAATCTCACCTTTAAAAAAATGGGAGAGTGTTGGTATTTCACTCTCTTCATACAGGTTCTTGAGAGCTTAAACTGGTTTTGTCCCTGAAGGGCTATATATTAATGCAGCAAAGAAAGAATTACAGTAAACAAATTTATCAGTTCAATTGCTTGGGCAAAGTTTCACAGTTTTATGTTATCACTTAAGTTACTACATTTTGCAGTAATTTAATTCCCAATTGGTACATGGCCTGATCTAGTCTTACTTTGCTCATGGGTTATATGAAGCTGCAGTACATAAACATAAAATGGGAGAATTCTCCTCAGAGATGAAGAATAACCTAACAAAATTCCCATATTCCTAACCTATTGCCAAGCAAACAACCAAGGCACACTGCTAGTACCATGTACGGTAGATTGTCTGCCTGTCTTTTTTAAGGGTATAATTTCAGTTTAGAGCTCATCAGAGAGTTAAACTCATTTTACACTTTTGTCTTCGTCTGGATTTTCACCATTATTTATATTAACCAGTCACTTTGGCTTGAAACTTGAACTACACATTTTTCTAAAGCATGGGTCTCTTAAGAATATGCAGCCTGAGCTTCAGACCCTACCTTCCCTCTGGTGCCTCTTGATCATGGCTTTGTCCTGCCTTATCTTCGTTTTGGGAAGGAGCTGGCAGTTCCTCAACTTCTTTTTTACTTTTATCAGCATTTTCATCTCCTCCTTTCTTCCTCTCTTCTTGTTTTTCATCTCCAGACACCTGATGTTCCTCCTTCCTCTCCCCATCTGCTGGCAACTTACTCTCTATCTCTTGCTCAGTTTCACTTTGACAAGCATCATCAACAGCATCTTCTTGCTGCTCTTCTGTAGTGAAGGATTTCTGAACAGAACTTCTCCTGTATTTGTAACTGCTTTCAAAAGCCAAACTTTCTTCTTTTTTCTCAGGCCCTTCAGTAGGAAATTCAGGATGCTCCATTTGGAGCAGAACAGAACTTTCCCTCTCAGCATTTTCCTCGTTGAGTTTATCAACTTCTTCCTGAGAGCAGCACTGTGTGTTCTGGATGGCCACCTCTGTAAGTAAACAGATTACCAAGGAATCTGTCAGTAATTCTCTGATAGTAAAAATATTAAAGTAGGGTTGAGCGCTTAGCATAACTTCTGTTGCATTTTCAACTAGGCACTTGCTTTCCTCTCTCATTTTCAAGGTCAGTGTAAATCTCTCCTAAGCAAGAGCAGACTACTTCTGTAAAACTAGGACATCATGGGTCACAAACTCTTCTTTTCACGCACAGCAGTGAAAAATGTTTTTCTCACTCAAATTTATTTTCAGCCAAGAGAACGTTAATAAACTCCTCATCACACAGAGAATAACACAGAATATTAGAAGTTGGAAGGGACCTCG